TGGGGGAAATTTGGGAAATTTTGGGAAAATTAAAAAAAAATGGGGAAAAAATGGGAAAAAATGACCTAAAAATGGGGAAATTTGACCCAAAAACGGGGAAATTTGACCCAAACATGACCCTGAGAGCCCCAAAATTGGGGATTTTGCTGTGGAAAAATTGGATTTGAGAGGCTGGGAGGGAAAATTTGGGGGAAATTGGGGAAATTTTGGGAAAATTTAAAAAAAAAAGGGAAAAAAAGGTGAAAAAATGGGGAAAAACGGCCAAAAAATGGGGAAATTTGACCCAAAAATGGGGAAATTTGGCCCAAAAATGACCCTGAGAGCCCCAAAATCGGTGACATCTCCGTGGAAAAAATGGACTCGAGAGCCTGGGAGGGAAAATTTGGGGGAAATTGGGGAAATTTTGGGAAAATTTAAAAAAAAAATGGGGAAAAACGGTGAAAAAATGGGGAAATTTGACCCAAAAATGGGGAAATTTGGCCCAAAAATGACCCTGAGAGCCCCAAAATTGGGGATTTCGCAGTGGAAAAATTGGATTTGAGAGGGTGGAAGGGAAAATTTGGGGGAAATTTGGGAAATTTTGGGAAAATTTTAAAAAAAAATGGGGAAAAACGGTGAAAAAACGACCCAAAAATGGGGAAATTTGACCCAAAAATGGGGAAATTTGACCCAAAAATGACCCTGAGAGCCCCAAAATCGGCGACATCTCCGTGGAAAAAACGGACTCGAGAGCCTGGGAGGGAAAATTTGGGGGAAATTGGGGAAATTTTGGGAAAATTTAAAAAAAAAATGGGGAAAAACGGTGAAAAAATGGGGAAAAACGGCCAAAAAATGGGGAAATTTGACCCAAAAATGGGGAAATTTGACCCAAAAATGGGGAAATTTGGCCCAAAAATGACCCTGAGAGCCCCAAAATTGGGGATTTCGCCATGGAAAAATTGGATTTGAGAGGCTGGGAGGGAAAATTTGGGGGAAATTTGGGAAATTTTGGGAAAATTTAAAAAAATGGGGAAAAAATGGGAAAAAATGACCCAAAAATGGGGAAATTTGACCCAAAAATGGGGAAATTTGGCCCAAAAATGACCCTGAGAGCCCCAAAATTGGGGATTTCAATGTGGAAAAATTGGATTTGAGAGGCTGGAAGGGAAAATTTGGGGGAAATTGGGGAAATTTTGGGAAAATTAAAAAAAAATGGGGAAAAAATGGGAAAAAATGGCCCAAAAATGGGGAAATTTGACCCAAAAATGGGGAAATTTGGCCCAAAAATGACCCTGAGAGCCCCAAAATTGGGGAATTCAATGTGGAAAAATTGGATTTGAGAGGCTGGAAGGGAAAATTTGGGGGAAATTTGGGAAATTTTGGGAAAATTTAAAAAAAAAGGGAAAAAAAGGTGAAAAAATGGGGAAAAACGACCCAAAAATGGGGAAAAAAAGGGAAAAAAGGGGAATTTTAAACTCAAATTTCAGCATTTAAAGGGTGAAAATTCGAGATAATTTCACGATTTTTTTTTTAAATTTCAGGAATTTTTTTTCTGGAATTTTGGGGATTTTTCGGGAATTTTTTGGGAATTTTTTGGCGGGAATTTGGGAATTTTTTGGGATTTTTTTTGGAATTTTCTGGGAATTTTTCGGGAATTTTCTGGGAATTTTCTGGGAATTTTCTGGGAATTTTTCGGGAATTTTCTGGGAATTTTCTGGGAATTTTTTTTTAATTTTCTGGGAATTTTTTTGGAATTTTCTGGGAATTTTTTGGTAATTTTCTTGGAATTTTTCGGGAATTTTTTGGTGGGAATTTGGGAATTTTTTGGTAATTTTCTGGGAATTTTTTTGGAATTTTTTGGGAATTTTTCGGGAATTTTTTGGGAATTTTTGGGGAATTTTTTGGGATTTTTTTGGGAATTTTTCAGGAATTTTTTGGGATTTTTTTTGGAATTTTCTGGCGGGAATTTGGGAATTTTCTGGGAATTTTCTGGGAACTCACGGTGCCGTTCCGGAACGATCTCGGGATCGGGGTTGACGTCAAGGATTCGAAGCTCCCGAAGCTCCGGCTCCGCCTCCAACAACACCTGGACCAGGTGAGATCCCAGGAACCCGGATCCGCCCGTCACCACCATCACCAGCCCCTGGAAAAGGCAAAATTCCCGCGGGAATTCCGGGAATTTTGGGAATTTTTGGAAAAATTCCCGAACGGCCAAAATCCGGTCGGGAACGGTCAAAATCGGCCAAATTTGACCCAAAATCTTCAATTTTTGACCCAAAATCTTCAAATTTGGCCTCAAAATCATCAAAACTGGGAATTCTGGGAATTGTGGGAATTTTGGGAATGGGGAAAATTCCCAAAAAAATCCGGCCGGGAACGGCCAAAATCGGCGAAATTCGCGTCAAAATCGGCCAAATTTGACCCAAAATCTTCAATTTTTGCCCCAAAATCTTCAAATTTGGCCTCAAAATCATCAGAATCCAACTGGGAATTCTGGGAATTTCAGGAATTTTGGGAATTTTGGAAAAATTCCCAAAAAAATCCGGCCGGGAACGGCCAAAATCGGCGAAATTCGCGTCAAAATCGGCCAAATTTGACACAAAATCTTCAATTTTTGCCCCAAAATCTTCAAATTTGGCCTCAAAATCATCAAAATCCAACTGGGAATTTCAGGAATTCCGGGAATTTTGGGAATTTCGGGGAAAATTCCAAAAAAAATCCGGTCGGGAACAGCCAAAATCGGCGAAATTCGCATCAAAATCGGCCAAATTTGACCCAAAATCTTCAATTTTTGACCCAAAATCTTCAATTTTTGACCCAAAATCTTCAATTTTGGCCTCAAAATCATCAAAATCCAACTGGGAATTTCGGGAATTTCGGGAATTCCGGGAATTTTGGGAAAAATTCCCAAAAAAATCCGGCCGGGAACGGCCAAAATCGGCGAAATTCGCGTCAAAATCGGCCAAATTTGACCCAAAATCTTCAATTTTTGCCCCAAAATCTTCAAATTTGGCCTCAAAATCATCAGAATCCAACTGGGAATTCTGGGAATTTCAGGAATTTTGGGAATTTTGGAAAAATTCCCAAAAAAATCCGGCCGGGAACGGCCAAAATCGGCGAAATTCGCGTCAAAATCGGCCAAATTTGACACAAAATCTTCAATTTTTGACCCAAAATCTTCAAATTTGGCCTCAAAATCATCAAAATCCAACTGGGAATTTCGGGAATTTCAGGAATTTTGGGAATTTTGGGAAAAATTCCCGAAAAAATCCGGTCGGGAACGGCCAAAATCGGCGAAATTCGCGTCAAAATCGGCCAAATTTGACCCAAAATCTTCAAATTTTGACCCAAAATCTTCAAATTTTGACCCAAAATCTTCAATTTTGGCCTCAAAATCATCAAAATCCAACTGGGAATTTCGGGAATTGTGGGAATTTTGGGAATTTTTGGAAAAATTCCCAAAAAAATCCGGTCGGGAAAGGCCAAAATCGGCGAAATTCGCGTCAAAATCGGCCAAATTTGACCCAAAATCTTCAATTTTTGACCCCAAAATCTTCAAATTTGGCCTCAAAATCATCAAAAACCAACTGGGAATTTCGGGAATTCCGGGAATTTTGGGAAAAATTCCCAAAAAAATCCATTCGGGAACGGCCAAAATCGGCGAAATTCGCGTCAAAATCGGCCAAATTTGACATTCCCAAAAAAATCCATTCGGGAACGGCCAAAATCGGCGAAATTCGCGTCAAAATCGGCCAAATTTGACCCAAAATCTTCAATTTTTGACCCAAAATCTTCAAATTTGGCCTCGAAATCATCAGAATCCAACTGGGAATTTCGGGAATTTCGGGAATTCCGGGAATTTTGGGAAAAATTCCCAAAAAAATCCGGTCGGGAACGGCCAAAATCGGCGAAATTCGCGTCAAAATCGGCCAAATTTGATCCAAAATCTTCAATTTTTGACCCAAAATCTTCAAATTTTTGCCTTGAAATCATCAAAATCCAACTGGGAATTGCCAAATGGATCCGGAAATCCTGAAATTCCAGCCCAGAATTCCCAAAAATTCCCTTTGGGACCCCAAATTCAACTCCAGGATCCCAAAAAATCCCGAAATTCCAGGCTGGATCCTAAAAAAATTCCCAAAATGCCCCCAAAAATACCCAAAATTCCAAAAAAATCCCCCAAAAATCCCCAAAAGCGACTCCAAAACTCCCAAAAATTCCCCAAAATTGCCAAAATATCCCAAAAAAGCCCCAAAATTCCCAAAAATCAGCAAAAATCCCCCCCAAAATCCACAAAATCCACAAAAAATCCCAAAATCCCCAAAATTTCCCCCAAATCCCCAAAAATTAAAAAAAAAATCCCACAAAATCCCCCAAATTCCCAAAAAAATCAAAAAAATCCCCCAAAATCCCTAAAATCCTCCCAAAAATCCCCCAAATTCCCAAAAAATCCCCAAAACTCCCAAAAAATCCCCCAAAAAACCCCAAAAATCCCCCAAAAAACCCCAAATCCTCCAAAATCCCCCAAATTCCCAAAAAATCCCCAAAAATCCCGAAAAATCCCCAAAAATCCCGAAAATTCCCCAAAATCCCCAAAATTCCAAAAAAATCCCCAAAATTCCCAAAAAATCCCCAAAATTCCCAAAACTCCCCCAAAAATCCCCCAAAATCCCCAAAACTCCCCAAAAAATCCCCAAATCCTCCAAAAATCCCAAAAACCCCCCAAATCCCCCCAAAATTCCTCCAAAATTCCCCCCAAAATCCGCCTCAAAAAATCCCCTCCCCCACCCGGAAG